ACAACTCACTTTCTTGTTGTTATTGCTGCCAGTGGCATCAACGTGCAAATACTTTTAATTAAATTGCTCCTAAGTTGTGGTTAAATTATTCGCCAAATAATTGGGATGTTTTAAAAGATTCACGGAGAACTCTATATTTTTGCTGAGTCGATGAAATTTAGATTTAGAGGAAAATGAAAAATAATCAAAAGAATTTTGTCTTAAGATGAATGATGATGATTAAAGATGAAAGCTCAAAGGCTCGCAGTAAGTGCCAATTACTAAATAATAACTTTTTTTAAAAACAAAACATTTTTTTAAGTAATTATTCTGTAAAATGTGTGCGAAGGAAAAAAATATATAATATAATTCAAATAACTAATTTTCCCTGTGCCCTAATACTGGCTTGTCAGTCATGCGTACCCTCGAACAAATTTGAGCTCATATAGAAATTTTATTTTGTTTTCTGCTTTTCAAGTTAAATTTCAAAAATTTTTTCAAATGTCGAAAAAATATATTTTGAGTTTTTTGATTTTGGTTCTAGTCCTGATCAAACCAAAAATTGTGAAAAATATAAAAAAAAAGTTAATTTTTCCTATTATTTTTCCTCCTCAAAAAAAATCGTCAACTGTTTTAAGGAGGTTTGGTATTAAAACAAATTAAATAAAGAGAACATTAAGATGCTTACCATCAATGTGGCTAAAAAAGTTGACTAAGAAAAACTTTACCCAAAAAAAAAAAAAATATATATCTTTTGAGTGGCGGAGAGTCAAGTCAACAACATTGAGCTTTTCATTTCTTTCTTTGCATACCGGCGAAAATTGAAGACTCCTACCGAAGGCAGGGTCTCTTATAACTCGTAGAGCCTTACAGGCAGTGGACGATAAACCTGCTCCTCAAAAAATGCTAAGGCGTCTCTAGTGTCACCGTTTCTAAAACATAAAAGACGACATAACTGAAGAGCGACGTGAAGTGTTTGGAATTTGCTAGTTGGGTGAGGATTTAACATTTCAACTACCTATTCAGTTGAAAAGAGGACAAGAGGCACCTTGCGTTGGTTTTCTCGGCTGATATTGTTTCTGGTGATAGTTACAAGATAGAGGAAAGCAAAAACCTCTTCAATTTTATGGAATTGATTTGAATATATCACCCTATAGAGCCCTAAAATTTCATTATGGCTGAGTTGTTCCGAGCGGTCATTCCTACATCTGACGGAACTAATGTGCTGTTCACAGTCTGTTCAAAAAGCTGTATATGTTTTGCCGAAATACCAAATTCTAATAAAGTGACATAGCAGCAGCTTCTTTTCGCGCTGTTGAAGCCAGTTTCGATTGTCTTTTTCGAATACTTGACGCATGATGAACGTCTAGTCAGCCCGGTCCAAAGTCACATTCCTAATTAGTTGGCGGCTTAAACTACGATATCTTTCACAGATTTTGGAGTACTCCTTTTTAGTGGTTCGGATAGAGCACTCTAATGTTTCAATTTAGAAAAATGCTGTTGCATACACCACATGAGATCTTACTTACTTATTTAACAATATTGCGCCATTTGTTTCTTTTTTTTGTGGTCTTCTTCTTCCTCTGCTTCTAAACGAAATTATCTACGACCCCAAAATTATGACTGTCTACAGTGACGTGGGAGCCAAGTCCCGAATGCGATGATTGTTTGTTTGATGACAAAAGATATTTCGTATTGTCCTCGTTCACCACCAGACCCATTCGCCTCGCTCTTTATCAAGCCTGGAGAAAGGAGACCTAACGGCGCGCTTGTTGAGGTCTATAATGTCAATATCATCGACGTACGCCAATAGTTGTACACTCCTATAGAAGATTGTACCTTCTCTCTTCAGCTCTGCTACTTTTATTCTCTCTCCAGCAGCAAATTGAAGAAGTCACACGACAAGGAGTCACCCTGTCTGAAACCTTGTTTGGTATCGAACGGCTCGGAGAGGTCCTTCCCAATTCTGACAGCGCTTATGCTGTTGTCTGACGTCTGCTTACAAAGCGTATATGATAATCGAAGCCATTACGTGATCAGCTCTCGCTGCCTTGTTTTTCTCTTAGTAGTGAATTGAATCGTTAAAATCATGAGATGGCACGTTCATGTAATTATCATCTATTGGTTGTTCGAATTATTTAGGCATATTCGTGTGCTCTTTTTCGTTTGTTTGAAAAAGGTTGAAGTTCTACTTTGAATGACACATAGGATGAGCAAATCTGAGCAGCTGCCAATGTCTAAATGGCTCCAACTAAGTATCTGTACCTCTACATTCTATTAATTTTTTTATGATAATTATCTGATTGAAATAATTTGTTCCTTAGATAGCTCCAATTGTAACCAGAGCAACTTGTGAATATTAATTAATTTTTTTTTTTGGTCATAATGTAATATAAACAATTTTTTATACACGGCACGTCTATTCATATATTTTCAAATCCAAAACAATTAATTTACAAATAAAGTGAATTCCATTATCTCAAAAAAAAAATTTTAATACAAACGAAGCTAAATATTTTGACCCGCAATCAGTATAACAACAACAACAACAACAAAAAAAGAAAAACCCCCACAAGTGCAATGAGAATTGTTTATTATGTGACGCTGACCATTAAACAACAACTCAAAAAGAGCGCCCGCTCTAACTTAGCGCTAAATTCGCGTGCGTGATTTTATTTAAATAAACAATATTGATTATTATTTATTTTGTTCATTTCCGCTACACTAAAGCAGAAGTGAGAGTTTGAGTATGAAGTTAAGTGAGTGGCGCTCTTCCGGCTCGAGCTACTGGCAGAGCCAATGCATTGGGTGGGTAGTATGGTGGTAAAAGTGTGTGCATGTGTGTATGTGTATGTGTGTTGTTGGTGAACGCTTTCCGGCTATTTGCTGAAAATTTGTAGATCCTGCTGTTTCCGGCTTTTATTGAAATTCAACCCACTATTAATGTTTTTGTTGTTTTGTTTTTTTTTTTGTATTATTTTTTGCCGCTTTTACGTAATCTCCATATTTTGGTACTCATTAGTGTTGTCGGTGGTTCGTGGTTGGTGGTTGGTGGCTGGCGGCTGGTGGCATGAATACATCACTACCCCTACCACTTAAACAAACGACAACAACTACAACTACATAGTTGCCTTGTTGCTTGTTGTGCTCCGTTTTGTTGATTCATTGCTGCTCGCCTTAATTGTTGTGGTAAAATATTTCATTTTGTTTGTTTACATTACTGCTTTCAGTTCCCTGAGGAAGAGGAGGAGGAGAAAGTAAGAGAGTGAGATAGAGAGAGAGAGAGAGAAAAAAAAAGTGTGCTGTGTGTCGGGTACATGAGTGTGCATATGTTTTTGTATATGCATAAGTATAAATATGTACATGAGCGATTTCGCATTATCATAATACAACAACAACAATAATGCCTTAACAACATGAAGCTGTAATGCTGGCCAACGGTGAACAAGTGAAATTTGTATGCACAAGTATTTTCATTTATATTCAACTCCATCTCCGCCCACCAGCGCTTGGTGAATTGGAAAAGTAGCTGGCGCTACAATAACACCCATAGCAACAACAGTAGTAACTATAACGTCTCAGACTCTTGGTCATACAGTCTGTGCTTTAGATTTGCACAAGTGCTTGCGTCGTGCTGTTTACTTTGTTTGTTTGTTGTTGTGAATATTTTGGCTTTTTGGTATGGCCAAGTGCTACGCTCTAATCTGACACCCGTGCTGGGGTTGCCTCATATGCAGCCCCAGAATTCGCTAGACGCCAACCACTCAAGTGTTCTACCGTGGCGAATTAATATTCTTGTATGCAATATACATATATGCATGTATATATGTTTGTCTACATGGTGCGGTACGGTTGCTTTTGCGGCTGCAAGCGGGTTGACAGCGGCTGATTTATGTGGCTTAGAGTTGGCAACATAGAAACATGACTGAAATTTAAATGAAAATTTTCATACCTTTTTTCTCTTCTTCTTCCTTTTTTACACGGCTTGAACTAAAATTTGTGGTAAAGGTAAGGAATTAAACGTACTACAACGAAAGCATATTAAAAACAATCCACAGAATGGGCAGAGTATCGCAAACACCATCTAATGAAAAGCGCTCTAAATAGAGTTGTGACATTTGTTGTGGTGAAATAAAAAAAAAAACTAAATATAAAAAAAAATTTCCATAAAAATAATAAAATGAAAGAATATGGAGAAAAAACAAAGAACATGGAGGAATGCCACAAAGGTTACCGCAAACTCATTCCCTAAGGCATGCTTATATGCCCTGTCCAGCACTTAAGCTGCTCGGAAGCGAAATGTCAGCTGTGGTGAAAACAATTTAAGAGCTGCTAAATAATAATAATAGCTGGAGGTTATTTATGACCGCAGGAAACTCAAACGCGTTTAACATTGATTTTTTCCCCTTCAGCTTTTCATTCTTTTACTTCTATCCACTTTGAATTTTATTACATTTTCTTATTCAATTTTAAATTTTTTTTCAATTTCACATATTTTTATTTATTTTTTTAAATTTTTTTAAATTTTTTTCCCCATTCTTTCTATTTATATTTTGTTTCTTTTTTATTTTATTTTCCATTTGTTTTATTTCCAATATGTTTTGGAATAAATAACAACAACATCTCGGTGGTACTTAAGGCTTCTGAAGACTTTAATGGTTGCTTGAACTTTTTTTTGTTGTATTATTTATATTTTATTTTCAATTATTTTCTTTCCAAATTAAAATTTTTCTGCTTTCTTTGTTTTGTATTAATTATATTTCAAATAAATCTTTAGCTATTTTTGGGTTTTTATCACCCTACATCGTTCTCTTTTAATTTAATTTTTTTTACTTTATTTTTATTTTTCTTTTTATTTGACCTCTTACTGTGTGCTTCGCATTAGTAATACTTCTTTGACTCACCCAACCAATTGTTTGAAACTTCCTTAATTAAAAGTATTTGTCTGTATGTTTGTATTTATGACCACAGTAAAAGCTAATACATTTTATGTAATTTCATTTTCTTTGCAGAGATTTGCAGTTGACTTGTCACAACCCTTGTCTGTGGAGCATTTAGGCACTTATCGGCGTATCTCGAGTGCGTAAAGGTAAGTGAAATGTGAGAAAATTACGACACAGTGCTGAGCTACTTTGCATTTATGGCCAAATCCCTTTTCTTCAGCACCTTTTGTGATTTTTAATTAATACCGTTAATTTGTAACCAAACGGAGGTATAAATACTTAATTTTTTTTTCTGAGATTTTTTTTTTAGATATTTATCACATCATTTGAAGCAGCTAATCTTTTTTACAGAATTCTAATTACTTTAAATATACTAATTTTATATACTTTATTGTGAAGTAAGTAATATTTTTATGAAATATTAAATAATTATAAGAAAAGATTTTTGGATATAAACCACTCTATCGAATCATATATTAATGAGTGATTTATTAAATTGTCCGAATGTTTATATACAAATTGTGGAAAAAACTGTGTAGGAAATTTTAAACTGAGAACGGCGTGGTTGATTTAGCACAAATCTTTTTGCATTTGTTTGTAATTACTCCTAGCAGAAGAAGGCTTTTACCGACCTTTTTTTTTAGTTAAGAGTTTTATATTAGAAACTCAAGCCAAGAACGAAAATATCGCACAATATTTAGTCAGATAAACTGTATCTGTAATCAAAAAACTTATGATTATTAAACAGAGTAGAAAGCTGCAGAAGAGAAATAGAGAAAGTCACGTGCTGAATCGGTCGGCAAAAAAATTAGAGGGTCAATAAATAGCAGCTACAGTAACTCGTTGCATACAATCCTGCGAATGGGTTAGTATAAAAAAATTTAGATAATTTTTCTAATAGCGATCGTCACGAGGGAAGGAAATAAAAAATTGTTATTAGAAATCTACCAACTTTTCAAAGGCGGCTTTGAAGAGATTTTGTGCCCCTCAATTATATATATATTTATATTGATTATATATATATATATATTATTTATATAAGATTGTTAAAACTTTGTGAAGAGAATACTGATTTTGAAATTTTATAAATACGTTACATAAAAATTTTAGGTCTTTTTATTTTGCTATCGCTCTGTGGCTTACCTGAAAGTGAAAACCTGAACTGAGAAAAAGTTCGCAGAGTCTGCTACTTGTAAATGCGTATTCCACAGAAAATAATCAACTTTTATTTTGAAAAAAAAAAAAACCATTATTTTGAAATAAGAGCACCATAGGTAACATAATTTTTTGAAATTTCTTATTAAAATTTTTAATTATTAATTAGATATTGAGACCATATTTGCAATTACCAAAAATATTTTTTTTTTGAAATATTTAAATTCACAAGTTTTAGTATTTAAAATTTTAAGCAACTATTGAGTTTTTTTTTTAGTATTTTTGTTTTAAATATATTCATAAAAACTGCATTTAATACTTTTCTACTATAAATCTAATTCTTTGAATTGCCATTGTAAAGTTCCGCGCCTTAAACTATGCAATAAATTGGAATTCAGTTGAAGTAGTTAAATTTTTTTTTGTAATATCTGCTGAATATGGCACTAAACACAATATTTATTCAATAGTAAGTTATTGGCGTGCTTACCATGTTTCAGAGCTTTTTCTTTCATCTTAATTGATATTTAAATTGCATACAAATCCATTCTTTTAGTTACGCTTTCGCCACACGATGGAGACGTGCATAGATCAGATTGTACCATTGTAAAGTATAAAAGAAGGGAAAAAATTTGTATTACCGAATGTTTCTTTCCTTAATACTTAAACTTCAATACGTATATCATTGGACTCGTTTATAATCACTTACGATGTGGCAAGATAATGCCTTCACGATTAAGTGAAAGCTGATCTCTCTATGAACTGGCGGTGTTGCGAACAACGATTTGAACGTTTTTTTTCCTTAAGCTTACGGACCGTCTAAAGGATGAAATATTATCGCGACAGCTAAAGGTCTGAGGGTTTGCCCTCAAATGCCTCTGTGAATAGTTATGTAAAAACGCATAAAATATTTTAGGTGTCTCCCAACTTACACCGAATGCCTAAGCAGCATTTTTCAATTTTTTTTTTTAATACTATATCTTCCTATGTTTTATACAAAAACTCAAAAAAATAAATATAAAATTAAAAAATACAATATAATCACCTGGTAAACCTCTTTTGTATTAAAAATTATGAAATTTAATAAAATATGCCTCCATTTCATTTAAACTTGATCCCTCTATTTTAACGGTAAAAATTAGTAAACCTTTTTTAGTAGGAGATATATGACATGCATGAAATGAAAAGTGCTGAATTTTCAGTAACTTGACGTAAGAAATCGTGTTTGTCTATTCAACGATACATTATACTCTTCATGTACAGAAGTATGAAAGCTTTACTAAACAAAGCATTAAAATTCAAAGATTTCGTTCATCGTTACTCCAATAATTGTGACTTGACCGGGTTCGGTAGGTGGTAGCCTCAAGCCGAACGAATAAATGTTCACTACATTAAAGCAGGCACGTGCAGACGTATGAAGCACAAATAGTATATACATATTGTAATTTCCTTACATATCATATACACATATACTCTACTGTGTATATTTAAAGCTGGAGTGAGTTTTCCTCCTTATATGTGTAAACTTTTTAATTGACTTTGCAACTTTTTAATGATAAAATACTCGTACTTACCAATTGAAGTACACTGCAACACGTACGACCCAAAATGTTTTCTTTGTATAGATACATATGCATGTGTATATGTATTTTAACAGTTGATGGTTAATTCTACATAAATGTGCGTAAATTTTAAACTTTAAACTCTCAACAGTTTGAGTTCGTCTATTGACCGCAAGCGTTTTCAGTACTTTCTGCTACATTTCCTTTCAAATTTATTGCAATTTCAATGAATTGTTCTTAAAGTGTGCCAAATTAAAAGAAGCAACAAATAAAATATAAAATGGAGTTTACGTAATACGGTCGAGGGAATGTCGTACCAAAGTTCCCTTTTTGGAGTTTTGTACTTAAAAAGTGCATTTCGGAATGAAAAGTGAGTGTTGTATAAATAAATAAGGTGGAGAAAAGTTTTCACTTTAAGCACGTGTGTTATTTAAGGTAATTTTTTACACATATAATTTTGAATAAAATTTAACTCTCGCTTGTTTTATCGTCTGCATAGTATTTTTGGTAAACTTTGTAATCAAATAATGCGAAAAGTATGTTGCGAGCTGTGTGTAAAGTTTTAATGAGCTTAATTAAAACAACTTCTTTCTCTCGAATATATAAGAATCCAGGGATAAAAAATAATTTATTTTTAATGATAAAAATCAAATACTTCCAAGTATCGCATGAAAGTTTTCTGTATAAGCAGAGGTTTTTTGTAATTTGCGGTGATTTCGGGAAATGTGTTTCAGATATATAAAAACTACTAGTAAGTCTAAGTTTTTATTTAATTTTCAGTCTTTGGTTTTTATATGTTTGCTCAAAAGTATTGATTATATTGGCTGTATGCATTAATTCGTGCGGTTTTTTTTCGAAATTTAAGACTTTATTGTGAAAAAATGATTTTAATCGTCTGGAAGCAGTTACTTGATCAATTATTCTTGTGTCAAGCAATGTCTCCAATTCTTCTTCTTGAAATTTTTTTGGCTGTCGTCGTCTAAGTCGAAATTGCCACTTTTAAACCGTGCTCATTCGTTCGGCTTAAGCATGGTCACCATAAACGTCCAGTAAAATACTACGGCTTTCGGTAGCACTTTTCTTCATGCAAAAACACTTTATCTGATACAAATTTCGACATTTTCAAATGAATGAAAAAATTTATTGTTCACGATAAAACTAATGACATCTACTGAAAACGACGCGAAATGACAGCACCATTGAAATGAATATAGCCACAGATGAAGACGACGCAAAATAATACTAGTATAGCCCTCTCTTAGAAAACCTCACGAATTAATTAATTAATTATTACCAGTAAATAAGAAAATTAGGTATTTGAAAATTATACTTTTAATCGGCGATATTTTGAAAAGGTCCGATCGTCTTTGAGCAAAATTGAGATATTTTTAACATAGATCGCTTTTTAGCATCGGAGATCGTAGAACAAAACATTCTTAAAAACAATATTTTTTACATATATTGATAATTAAAATGGAGAATGTTGACCACAATTTTTCACGGATGACTTCACTGGAATTCTGGTGAAGTCTGAAATTAACAACGACCCACGATTGACATAAGAACTGATTGCTAATGAATTGGCCTTGAATGCCATGGCTGTATCGCGAATACCGAGTTGAGATATACGAAGAAATCTGCTTGATGGGTATCAGGAATTTGAAACGGTGCCCATAAAGAGACTCGAGTGCATTTAACTAAATTTTTTATTAACAATTTCGAAAATGATCAGTCTAGCATCTTTCGTAACGGTAACGAATCTTGCATCCATAAGTACGATCCAAAAACCATGGAGTAGTCCATGTTTATTTTTTTCGATCTAAAATCGTAGCTGCTTTGCTACTTGAAAAGGGTCAGACGGTAACTGTAAAATGGTACTCCGAAAAATGCTTGCCAAAAGTTTTCAAAAATTTGTTGGAAAGCACGAAGAAAGAGGATTTGCGGCGCTACTTTTTATATCAGGACAACACGCTATCCCACACTGGTGAAATAACTAGAAATTTAATAGCGATCTCTAGGATCGAAGAAATACGTCCAGCACCATATTCGCCAGATATATCACCTTGTGATTTCTCTTTATTTCCAAAAATTAAAACCAAACTTTAAAGAGATATAATTAATGCGGTTAATGCTGAGTTTAAAAGACTTAAGAAATGCATTAAAGACAATTGCGATAATGTAGAGAAAGTAAAAAAAAATCATAGATTACGAATAAGAGTAAAAGAATATTTTTTCTGGTCAACTTACCGAACCCTTGTTTATCCCCTCGAATATACAAATAAGCATTGAAAACAGAAATTTTCTAATTTCGATGATTAGAAACACTCCAAACAATTTTTTAAGAATGGAAATTAATATTTAATCACAAAATGAATTTCTTTAAACTTGATACTGTCATGAATGGCCGAAGACAGCTCTTATTTCCTGTTTTA